CAGGGTGCCATGGCGGATCAGGGGACTCAGGAGGCCATGGTGGATCAGGGGACTCAGGAGGCCATGGTGGATCAGGGGACTCAGGAGGCCATGGCGGATCAGGAGACTCAGGAGGCCATGGCAGATCCTCTGTGGCCTTAGCTGGCTCGGCCAAGGGTATATGGCTCCCCCCCAAAATTTTCTTGGGGAAAACTAGGAATCCTGGGGGGCACTCTGGAGGAGCGGGCACTTGAGGGCGCTCTAGACGGGATTCAGGGACTGGAGCCCTCCGTGGGCTATACTCTGGAACTGGAGCCCTCCGTGGGCTATACACGGGAACTGGAGTCCTCCGTGGGCTATACTCGGGAACAGGAGCCCTCCGTGGGCTATACTCGGGAGGGAACAGGAGGGCTATATTCAGGAACAGGAGCCCTCTGTGGGCTATACTCAGGAACAGGAGCCCTCTGTGGGCTATACTCGGGAACAGGAGCCCTCCGTGGGCTATACTCGGGAACTGGAGTCCTCCGTGGGCTATACTCGGGAACGGCACTTCTGGCCGAAACTTGGGAACTGGATCCACTGGAACTAGGAACGGCACTCCTGGCCGTGATGTGGGTACTTATCCCAACTGAAGACAAAGCGGCACTCCTGGTCGCGATGAGGGAACTAGATTGATTAGGAAAGGGATTTAAAATAGGTCCTCCACTCAGGCTACTCACTGCACAATGTCTGGGACTCAGGTCATAGGCTGGAGCCTTCACTGGAGTGAGCTCTGGGGCTAGGCACACTCGGGCGAGGAAGAGGGCCCTGAGCCGTCCATTTCACCTCTTCCTCCTTTTCTGATTACGGGTGAACTGGGCAGCCGGCGGGCTTGTCGTTGCGGTGACCGGTGAGCTTGGGTCAATGGAGACCGGTGGACTTGAGCGAGCCGCGGCCGGCGAGCTTGACTTCGTAGCGGCCGGCAGGCTTGACAACAGCGCGGCCGGCGGGCCTATCTTCGGAGCAGCCGGCGGGCTGGAGTGAGCCGCGGCCGGCGGGCTCGTCTTCAGAGCGGCAAAACGTGCGGCGGCTTCCATGCCGCGGGGGAAAAAACGGGAAAACAAAAACTATTAAAAAAGGTGGAAAACAAACACGGGGGAAAGGACGCTACTTACTTTCAGTTTTTGAGGTCCTGCGTTCTGTCACGGGTCGTGGTGCGGAGTAAGCGCACGGAGAGGAAGTAATCCACGATAGAGTCTTTAATTATCAAAATAAGAACAAAACATTCGGAAACTGAGGGAGACAACAACCATGATATAACTTTAATGCAAGACAAGGGAACTGAGGAAAACACAGGGCTTATAAACACATGGAACGTAATCAGGGAGAACAGAAACAGGTGAGGAATAATCAATCAAAACAGGTGAACAGAATAAACGATGATTAACTAAATGAGAACATGAACTGAACCAAATAGGGGCAAACAGGAACTAAACAGAAACAAACATGTGACAGCATGACATGCAGGTAAACAAATACAATATATATATTTTTTTTTTTATTCTCTGATGTCAGTTAATGGTCACATGACATGCAGGTAAACAAATAAAATATTTTTATATATTGTTTTTATTATTATTCTCTGATGTCAGTTAATATCACATGACATGCAGGTAAGCAAATAAAATATTTGTATTATTATTTATTTTATTTTTAATTTATTATTCTCTGACATCAGTTAATGGTCAAGTCATGCTGGTAAACAGTTTTTTTTATTATTATTTATTATATTATTTATTATTATTATTCTCTGATGTCAGTTAACAGTCAAATGGCATGCAGGTAAACAAATAAAATACTTTTATTATTTATTATATTTTTTATAGCGTTTTATTTTAATTGTTAAATATATTAATTTTAAAAATTAATTGTTTAAGACAATTTTAAAATTATTTTTTTATTTTATTTTACATTTTTGGATTTAATTATCAGCTCACAAACCCCATGCAATTCCCTCACAAAGCATCAGATGCACGGCATTATGAGACCGCTGTGAACTCACACCTTGCAGAGCAGCGAGGGACTCTATGGACAGGACTCTTCGGCCGATGGCAGACAGTTTCCGGCAGATGACTGCGGGCGAGACGTCACCGAGCACAGCCTCCGCCTGAGAGAGAATATCCTGACAAAGAGAGACGATATTATTCACACATATCATTAAACAACAGAGAGAAACCTGCCTCTTTATTAAGTTAAATCACCCTTAAACGGTTCATATTGCACATTTTAATTATCGAATTCTCCACAGAAAGTCGTGGAGGTTCAGAACGAGTCAACTTTGCGGTTTAGTGTCAGTAAATGTTCTTACAGTATGTTTTCATCAAGCTCTTGCCTCAAAAGATCAAGGACAATTTGATGAATCATGATATGTAAAACTTTATGTGATATATGATATGTGAAAAACTTTTCACTACAGTTTGTGAGATATCTGGTATTTATTTATTTATTGTTAATATTTTGAATTAGATTTTTATTTTTATATTTCCTATTTTCACTTTAGTTAAAGTTTCAGTTTTTTGTTGTGTTTTTTTGCCATTTATATATATATATATTTTTTTTACCTTAATCTTATTTCTAGTCACTTTTTTATGTTTTAGCTTTAGTTAACTATAATAACTCTGCTGCAGGGGTTTTTTTAGTTGATGAAAACCTAATGAATTAAATCATGAATCATGTAAAATAAAAAAATACGTCATTTTAAAATAAATAATTATTTTAAAAAATAAAAAAACTTACTAAACAAACATACAATATTTTCTTTGTTTACCTGCATGTCATGCAAACGTGAGCGAACTTGTTGTTAAATTATTATCTTAAGTATTAACTTAAAATATCAGGGTGACAGACACAGTTTGACAGAAGGACACTTCAATTTAATGGACAGATTTGAGAAACATTATGTAAGTGTGAGCGGTCACACTCTCAGATCACGCAGGAGAACATGATCGCCAGGATTTGTTCTCATCAGAATAAGACGTAATATTATTCACATATCATTAAACAAAGATTAAATTTGTCTCTTTATTAAATCAAATCACCATTAAAAAGTTCATATTGTACATTTTAATTATTTAAATCTCTACAGAAAGTCATGGAACTTCAGAACGAGTCTGTTTTCATCAAGCTCTTATCAGGGTTATTATAGTAAACAAACTAAAACCATAAAAAAATGTTGTTACTTGAAATAAAATAGACATTAACGTTTTACTTACTTATTAATTATTTATTATCATGTATTATTTATTATTAAAACTTATTTTTTATTATTTATTATTCTCTGATGTCAGAAAATGGTTGCAATACAGGTAAACTAATAAAATATTTTGTATTATTTATTATTCTCTGATGTCAGTTAATGCTCACGACACGCAGGTAAACAAATAATTTTTTTTATTACCTTTTAAATTCATTTTTATATGTTTTATTATTTATAATTCTCTGATATCAATTGTATTTATTATATTTTTTATAGTGTTTATTGTAAAAAAAAATATCTGACAGCAATGTTATTATAGCTAAACTAAAAACATAAAAAAAAACATTTCGTTACTTGACATAAAATAGACAATAACTGAAATAAAATAAAATATATAAAAAACCTTAAAGGGGGCATAACACACACAGTTTCACCCAATCTCATCTTAATCTTGAGTACCAATAGAGTATTACTGTATCCTTCATATCTCCAAAAAGTCTTTAGTTTTATCATATTTATAAAAGAAAGATACAACTTTACGATTCTCTCCGGAAAAAGCAGAGCTCCTGGAGGCGTCGTGGGCGGAGCTAAAGAGTGACGAGCACTTGGGCACCGAATGCCAAAAAAACAGACATTTAATGCCGTTTCACTTACCGTCTGCAGTTCTGAATCATGACCGGGATCTTTTATAGCTGGGACCGCTCCATCCTTCAGTATCAAACGATGTGCAAATCCAGCATCAAACTGGGCCTTGTTTATAAGACGTTCGTCAACAAACACACTTGTGAAACTCCGTTGCTGCTCCGGAAAAACAAACTGTATCCACCGTTTTACATAATGCTGGGTTCTTCAGGAAGCTGACACGGCCAGGCCCTTCGCACAACCACCGTAGCACACGAAAAGCTGGTCAGATTGCCGAAAGCTGGCCGAACGGTCAATGAAAATCCTCAAAGCCCTGACGGGGCACACCGAAATCTGAGCGTCCGCATCACGCGAGGTCGGTGACTCAGAGGACAGGACAGACAGCGAAACAGTCTGCGCTCTGAAGGGGGTAGATAGTGATTTATGGCGCTTTTCCACTACATGGTACGGCTCGGTACGGTTCACTTTTGGGGGGTTTTCCACTGGGGACAGT